GAACATATTTGATATTGGAGAGCTTATCAAGCTACCCTGCAATCAGACATTATGCAATCTGAGGATCCCTGAACTCCTCCAGATGCTGCATTCAAACTTTTTGTAATTGTTGATTACCTGCGTGCCATTTGAATCGATGGTAAGATTTTAAGCGATTTTTTCCCCTTATTTTTATTGTTTCCGACCCATGTAATTACGTATATGCCTTGATTTCTGCAGCAGTTTTTGTGTAGTTGACTTTAATGACAACTTAATCGTAATGCATAGAGCACATTGAGACGTTTCTAAAAATAAGATTCTGCAGTTTGGCCTTATTCTTCCACATTATGTCATTGAACTGAATGTTACGTCATCATTACAAATGTATTTTTGAAGCTGAAAGCTGTTAAGCCATCAGAATGTCATCATTTCTCCATAATGGCAAACCTTTTTGGTTGTTTTGTTCTTTTCCGGACAGTTTTAGTCATGAGACAAAGTATCCCCATCACTTATTATTCCAAAACTTTCATTCATCCTGGTTGTTTGTGGGTATTTCCACTACATAGCATGAAACAGAGTTATTATGTCAGCAGACGATGAGTGATCATCCTCTCGCACTGCGGTGATGTCAACTGAGGCCTCACTCAGTGGCCGAATGCAAGTGAGAGAGAACGTCCTGTTGAGAAAATAAAAGGCTCGGTTTTCTGCCACGCAACTCAAACAAGTGGTTTTGTCACAGCGACTACGGTTTAAGACTCATATAGAATCCCTACACGCCCCACTTGAAGCAACTTTCAAAGAGATTCTGCCCTCAAAAGGGATGCCCCTTTTGAAATGAGACGAAAGACGTCTAAAAACAGTAAAAAAAAAAAAACAACAACAACCAAAAAACAGTCTTCTAGACACTTGAACGCATCTCCAGGGGAATTTAAAACACTTGCACATGCAGCAGCAACTCATTTATTGGAAAATCAAGTGCAATGTATTGGGATTGTGGACTTTTTTAACATCCTCAAATACTTTTTTTTTCTTTCCTTCGACACAGATACAGAGATGTTTAGCACTAAACTCCCATCTCAAGTGAAGTAACAGAACACATGCTCTAGATTATTTTAAACCAAAGTGATTGAGTCGCAGTGTGTGAAGCCGGAAGGATGTTGACGCTCGTACAGGCTCGGCTCCACATCCGACAAGAGAAATATTGTAAATGAAGGTCATGTGAAATGTGAGAAATGCACGGTGGCTTGAAGATGGATATTATCAGAGGAGGGGGGTCACACAGCCAACGCTGCCTGTTCTTTTATTCATTGGGGGAATCCCTCCTCATCTCCATTCTGCCTGACGTCACAAACGCTGCAAAGGTCTGTCCGCGCGGACGCGTGTGCCGGGGCGTTCACCTAAGCCCCAGAAACTTGTGCAGCACGGGGAGTCAGGGCAAACTTTGCTGCGGTTCTGTCAGTGAGTTATTAAAACAATCGCGAGCTGACAAGCCCTGCATTGTGTCGCAGACGGAGAGGGCTAGGGCTTAATAACTCAGTGTCACGCCTTGACATTCTTACCATCTGTCTGGGTAAAATATTCAAATGTGCAATAAATGTCACTGGGGACAGACGGTGACAGTGTCTAATTAACACTATGACAGAGGTGACACACTGGAGGCAATGACTGGCTTTTACTGTACAACTCTCATGGCCTTGGTGTGTGCGTGTGTGCATGTGCACGCCGGAGCCCCACGCAGAGGTGAAATCTTGAAGCGCAGAGTAGCTTTTTTTCTTTTTTTCTGTCATCCTGTCTCTTTAGAGGAAAGTCGGTGATTGTTTAAGTAAACAGGAAAGTGTGGCGGTAAGACACATTTTTAAAAAGTGTAAATGACAGCAGCTATAGGGCTGTGCAACCCTGGAGCGGTGAATAAATGCCAGGGAAGATTCATTTCCTCAGGCTGAAATGTCAACCGGGGGGGTTGATGATAGAGGAAAACCAGATTATCGGCCTTAAACGGGATTCCTAATCAACTCTGATGGCCCACAAAAAGCGAACAGGTCGGTTGTTGATTCAGCTTATCAATTCGAGTGTTTTGGGCAACAGTTTTGTGACAAGATGAATGTTAAATTGCTAAATTTAAGGGTCTGTTTTAACCAGAGTTCACCAAATATGACTTCTGATTTTAATAGGGGAAGTTTGTGCTTTTTTCTGCTCTTTTTCATCCATGATTTCTTTCGGTTCTTACATGAACTATTCATACGACTCAATCAGTGAATGAAACAAAAATTAAAGTGAAGATGAAATGGAACTTAACCATAAAATTTGGGTCATTTTTCAGAAATTGAAATAATAACAAAACACCACACCACATAACATTTTCCTCAGTGCCATACGTTACAGGATGACGCTCTGGCCCGTCTTTCTACTTCCTCCCATTAGTGTACCAAAACCAGATCCTTCGGCTCCTGTAAAGTACTTGCGCCAAACTCAACATCGGCAATTATTGAATGTCAGGAAAAAAAAAGAAAAAGAAAAAGTTGAATTACGGTGATCATCCTGCGATTACTATAAGTCTGGCACCGTGTGTAAAGAGTGTTGCAGTGTTGATGAAGGTTCCTGTGGCAGCAGAAGCTGGTGAGTCAGCACCAATATGTCACTCACAGAAAGAATTGCAGACTTCTAAGATTATACGCTACTCACCATTAAAAACCTCTTGTCACACGTGCAACATGAAGGATGGGGGGGTCTCTGCGTAGGCCATTTTTCTGATGATACTTTACGCCACATTTCGTGCTTTGTTGAAATTTAAACCGCATAATGAGCTAATTGCTTTAATGGCTGTGTGCTTTGGTATGCTGTCCTATCAACAGAATTTGCTTTCGCTTTCTAACACTTAAACATGCAGCTCTTCTTCCCCAGTTTCCCTCTCTGTGCGCTCTTTCCTCACTTCCCCTCTCTCGGTATAATGTGAGAGGCTATTGTATGAAGCACCTTTAATGGCTTTGTCAGGAATATATTGGACTTCAGTATGAGATTTGACACGCCGTGTATGTAGGCGTGTGTGTGTGTGCGTGCCTTTCGGATTGTCACGTAAGGTCCAATATTGTGGTGCTTTTCCACTCGTGTTGCTGCACACACTCGCACTCCAAAGCCATTAGGATTCTATACAAAAATCCTGAAGCTGAGAACTTTAAAGCTGGGAGCGATGCAATCGACAGGCTGGTCTCCCATCAAGCTTGTCTTTCAGCTCTCGATCTTTTGGTACGGCATCGATCTCTGCTGGAGCTTCAGCAACACTTACTTTCACATGCACATTTTTGACTCTGTTACTTGATCCGCTCTCGCCAGCCTACATACACAGGGGCACGTGTGTCACACCAGTGTCTCTTGGGGCCCACCAGTAAGCTCGTGCGTTACCAGCGCTTGTGTACAGTGAATACTTCAAATGCGTACCAACTCATCGTCTTTGGAGTGTTTGTGCCCTTGGGGGCCAATAGAAGACAGCTCTGGCCTGCTTCAGCACCAATGACATAGCTGACTGGTCCCATTTAACGTGCTAGATTTAGCTTCATTAGAGAGGATGTGGCTGGAAAGGCACACAGAAGAAGTGAAATGAGGGGTAAGAGGCGGAGACTGCTAGGCATTTGCAAAGGCCACTTTGCATTAGAGCAGGACAAAAAAAAAAAAAAAGAAGAAAAAAAGTCAGAGTCGTCTCGCGAAGGTAGTTTATAAAACAGGCGTGTCCACAATGGCTGCCGAGCAGAGAGAAATAGATGAATGTAAATCCGAATCACAATGAGTGGAATTACCACGATGATTAATATTATGCGGTAAAATGTAAAATCTGTCAAATACAAACAAAAGAAAAAAAAAATGCAGAAAATACTGTAAATAATATTTAGAGTCAATGAGAAAACGCCCATAGCAAAAAAGAGGACGTAAAAATAAGAAAGTTTTATTTTTTGACAGTTTGCCATATAGAAACCCAAACCTTTCAGAGTAATGAACTGGGAATTAAATGACACAGTAGCAGCCTAATTCTAATTAGGGAACTTCTGAAGGCAATTGGTTGGATATTATTTAGGAGTATCAACTTGAAAACTGTGCATCTATTGTGCGACTTTGGATGGTCAGACTGTCGCACAAAATCCCCATAAAATTGACAGAGAAAAAGTTGAAAAGTTAAGGGGTATGAACACTTTTTCACTGCACTATAAAGACATCCATAACAGTGGACGTGTGGCGCAACGTCTTATGCAACCGCCCGACTCCTGATCCTTTAAAATCTTAATTCATAAAAAGTGCCCCATGTCGGCATGACAGAAACAAATGAGCTATCACATCCAATTGGAAAATTTGTTTCTCTTCTATTATGGCGAATAAGTCTGCACGATTGAAAATAAGAATAAATGACTTGTCAAGATGGATGCCGTTTGCGGTGACGAGTCAGGGAGAGGCCGTGGTAATTAATGTGCGGCTGCCGGAGAGGTCACGTCGGATTGGCGGAAGCCGCAGGGGGTTTGTGGCCGCAAAAAAAAAAAAAAAAAAACCTAAAAAAAAAACAACTGTCATCCAGGGAAGCTGGAACAGAAACGACTGGTTGGTTTCGGTCAGGATCCTTCCTTCAAAGTTGTGCATAAGAAGAATTTCATGCTCTCCTGTGTACTTTCTCCCTGATCTCTTGTGCTTGAACCTTAATATGTATGCTGCTGCTTTCAAAAATGAAGAAATAAAAAGTCCCACCGGGGTGCTCGGGGCCAAATAAACAGACACACACACACACAAAACGATGGCGCGTGTGTTAATGTGTGTGCTTGTGCGCGAGTCTTTGTGTGCGGTCTCTTGGAGCACATCTCCCCAGAAACAGAGGTGCAGCCGGTGAAAGGCACCGTGCAACAAATGGTGTGAGGTCATCACACTCAGCCCTGGCCCTTGCTCTGGGTCAATGTCTCCATAACTGTTGGCGATAAAGGGGTTACCATGGCAACCGCTGGGAGTTTTTTTTTTTCCAGCAAATCAGAGAGGAGAAAAGAGTCCTCTGGGTGTGCATGTCTTGCAGCAACTATACCCCTGGTGATTTATCCTCTTTCTACACCAGAACAACACTAAACCATTAGGACAGAGCAAAAAAGAAAAAAAGAGGTCTGGATAGGAGGGAACACAGCCTGTTCAATGTCACACACAGTCCCATCTATAATGATTAAGGTAATTTTTTATTTTTTTTTTATCTAACATAGTAACCTACAAATTACACTAATTCAAGTCTTTAATAACTACTTCAGCAACCACAGGCTCAAGTGCCACCTGAGTGAGTAAAAGCTCTCCAAGTACTGCAACGTCACAACACTATTTTTAACATTTTGCAAAAAAACAAAACAATGAAAGACAAAAGTTGTTCTCTGCTGATTTACGTCAGAATTATAGATTTTAAACTTTTTCAATTGATTAGGTTGACAAAAATGTCTGTTGAGGTCTGATTGGAGAAAAAGTAAAGGTTTCTTCAACTGAACCATGGAATTCAAAATGGCTGCCATCCAATTTAAAGAAAAGCAAACCATATTTGCATTCCGACAATGTTGTCAATGTCATTGGATCTTTCACAAATACTACGGGAACACCTCGTTCTGTGAGCCAATTGCCAGAATATATGAAAGCACAACCTGTAAACAAATACATGAACAGCGACTGAGTCCGACTGTTTTTCACTGCCTTTCAACGACGCCACACTGGAGTTGGTCAGCAAATGGACTCAAACATTTCTGACTTTAATGGCAAAGGAAACACAGCATTCACTTACGAGCCTCTTTTATAAGGCCACCTTACAAACTTTGGATTGAGACCAAGCATCATTCAGTCTGATGATAATGTGCAAACATAGATGTCCCTTTCTTAGTGGAGAGGTGTGACAGCCAGTCCAGGCTTGTAAAGTAGGAGCCCATTAGGAGATTCAGAGTTGGTGTTCTGCAATACTTGGCTGCAGCTAAGTGTCTGTTTGAGCGACTGTTCCCTTTCTGACATCTTGAACCAGTCGGCCCATTGCCCCCTGACGTCAACAAAACATCTCCGTTGGTACTGCATAAAGTTCCCAGTAGACCAGTGGTTCCTGACATACAGCACAAAATGTGACATTCAAAGTCACTTGAATGCCATTTTCTGTGTATTCTAATGCTCAGTTTAAACTTCAGCAAGTATACATACATGTAGACATCTTCACCATGGCCAGATGTCTACATGTTGCAGCATTGTGTTGAAAAAAGCAATTGAACAGGTGTATCTCGTAAAGTAGGTGGAGAGGTTAAGAAGCCACAACTGCTCGACTTAAGTTCACTCTTCCTTCCTTCAGGTTATTCTTGACTTTTCTGAAATCAAACTTCTCTTTCATGTGTGAAGCGAAGTGTCATTTTTTTCCCCCCATTTGCACTTGTTTATAGAATATCTCAGTTAATGTTGTTGAATATTCAGATGCTCAAAAGGCATCTTTATCAGATGCCTTTTGAGCATCTGATAAAGATTGCTTGCAAGCAGCACCAAAGGCACCCCAAGTACCACAAGCGGTGCTTATACCACAGCTTGAGAACCGTGGCATTAGGCCGTATGATAAGCTAAATCAGTGGGAGAACTTGCCCTTTTTATCCCACGCCTGCATCAGCACTTTAGAATCCAGTGTTTATGGAAAAGCTCTGTGGGGCTGCCTCTAAAAACAAGGCTGAAGCTCTGCTGTAAAAACCCAACTCCGCAAGACGGCGTGGATATTCGAAATCAGCGGCATGTAGGGACATTTATTAGAGCCGCGTGAGATCTGAAGACATTTCTGAGACCACCTGAATTTCTCACTCTGATTAGTCTGATTAGCCAGCGGAGGTATGTGGAAGAGGCAGGGTTGTTTTTTTTCCTCTTGTTGTTGTTGTTTTTTTTTATTATCCGGAATGCTTTTCTTCTTCAGTTAGTGTTGGTGTTTTTTGTACGAGACGTGGCATGGAGTGGGTAAAACAACAGCGGTCGGATTCGGGCGGCAATAGCCACACCGGCCTTGTACAGTGCCTTATTGATGAAGATTGGACTGGAGTGTTCTCCCGCCTCCTCCGCACAAAAGCCTATATTGGATTTCACGCTGGCTGCTCATTCACCAGACACTGCAGTGCATTCCTAACCAAAAGGCCTGGAGGCAATGCGGCGGCTTTATTTGTTTATAATGTTTAGGGCTCCCCGCAAATGGCTTGCACTGCAGTCGCAATAACTGTGCATAGTTACATTTGGGCAATCGACTGAGCTCGTTTTGACACGAGCGCCGTGGCTCAATTCATTTGGAATGGACTGAGAATCCAATAGAGTCTTCTCATTTGGAGGAGGAAAAGGGAGAACTGTGGTCGCAGGAAAATGGGAAAATGAAGAACAAAGCGAAGAGGGGAAAGGCCATCGTGCTTATGCGATGAAGAAGAAGTGAAAACTGCTGCTGATACACTTCTCAAAAGTCATGCAAAGAAAAAACAAAAACAAACAAACAAAAAACACCCTTCTTTTTGCCCCCCGTAGAATATCATTGACAGATAAAATATAGATGCCATCTCTTTGCTCTCACTAAACTGCCCTCTCCAAGTCGCACCAGCTCTCTGATGCGTTTCCCGCTGGCTGCAGCGACTCTCATAAATCTATGAAAAGCCAACTGCCAACTTTCACAACTTCAGGTCCATTAAGAGATATGACAACATCCAAGACAAATTCCCAGGAAACACTTGCGGCAATGAAACTCTAATTTACTGAACTGATGACAGACGACGACACGGAGGTGACAAGGCAGGAGAAATGAAGTTAGCTGTGCCGCAGCAGCTAGTCGTCAATGTGACACCCAAATGACATCTGGTAGTGAACTGGTGTGAGTCACGTCACTTCTCCAGCGCGCCGCCTAGATCCATCACTGCTTGTGTGCATGGGCGTGGGTTGTGTGTGAAATCTTCTTCACTCGCCTCCTTCTTGTCCTCTGCCAGCTGCTCAGCTTCTCACTCCATTTGCTCCAGACTTTGCACACATCTGCCCAGTAAATTTATCACAGATGCAGGCAAACACTGTCTGCAGTCATAAAACACCCACTGACCGTTGGTCAAAGTGAGGCGGAGCAGCAAAGGCACCATCCAGTGATGTTTTCTTTTTCTTGTTTTGTTTTTTTATTTTTCCACAAAAAACATCCACCCAGACCTGACGTAGTATTATGACCACCTGCCTCATGCTGTGTTGGTTTCACTGCTTGAAATGGACGTGGACTTTGCTACACCCGTGGAGGTGTAGAGCCGTACCTGCCACCGAGATTTAAATTGTTCTACAGCTTTTTGCATTAAAGTTCACTCATCGTAAGCGGTGATAAATTTGGGATTTTCATTACTTTGTCACTGGTTTAACCCTTTTCTTTTATTGGAGAATTTTTGATAAACGTTGACCATTTCAGAAGGAGAACGTGGCCACATGGGCGTTCTCTCTCCAAGACGCTCGGCTCCATATACCGTGTCGTCGCAGCCTGGCTTACGTCAAACTCAGTCACGTTGTCACATTTGTCACTTTTCCTGCTTCAAAGGCCAACATGAGGACATTTGCACTCGCCTCTGCATCCGTGCAGGGGAGGGTGTAGACGGAGCACGGATAGATGGATGTTCACCCAATAAAATGTTAAAACAAAGAGGTATATTCAGTGTTACTCTCACCATCTGTCTGCAGTAACAATATACGTGTTGTTCGTAAAAAGCACAGCTGGGTACTGAAGTACAGATTTTCACAGCTGAATTTCACAAAACACAACGTATTCAAAAATTTGGCAGAAACGTCTGCTTCGCGTGTATTTGGGTCAATTGCCTTACGAGAGGTACAAGAATGCAGCTGGTTTTAGTAAACATGGAAAACATGCAATGATTAGCAGATTTTGACATGGATTCTGATGCTCTTCATTTGTGACAATTTGCTCGCTGAAGCTGATGACCGACGGCAGTCGTAGCACGACAACGACCATCCAAACTACTTTACTGCTACGATTATGTTTATGTGCAACTCGTCTGATTGGTTGCTTTGAATGACGTCGCCTGTCATTCAAAGCAACCTGTAGCTGAAATCGATTGATTTGTCAAACAAAAGCCTGGATGAGAGCTTTAAGAGAAGCTTCTAATCACATGTCTAGGATTTTGTTACATGAACAAACATATCAAAAGTAGCTGGTGGTAAGCAAGGTCAGCCAATTGGGGAGTGAAAGGAGAAAATCCACCTTATCTCCTTAATTGCTTTTGCCTTTTTCCCTCTCATTAAGCTCATTAGACATTTTATCTTTGAGTAATGGAATGTCCTTGCAAACTTCAGGTGATTTCTTGTCTTCGTATGTGGAAGTAGCAAATAAAAAAAAATATAAAAATTCTGAAGCCTTTAAAAAAAAAAAAAGAAAGATTCCTGTGAAGTGAAGGATGAAAGCCAGTGGGAGAGCGGGTAGAAAGACAGAGTGAGGGGTTTTATGCAGTCTCCGGAGTGAGGCGAATAAAAAGAAAATGCAGGGGAAAAGTGTCCTCTAAAAGAGAATAAAATAAATAATAGCTCATTGATGCAACCATTTCCCCTTAACCTCAAACGGCAAACTTCAGAGTTAAGACAGGTAGAAACTGGGGAGTTTTCTCGAAAAAGAATGGAGGGGGAAAAAAAAGAAGAAAATCTGTCCTCTGCCTTTTCAGCTCCTCTACCTCACACCTCCCCTTCCCTTCACTTTGGGCTCTTCAAGCAGGAGCTTCTCTTAGAAAATTGACAGTCCTTACACAGGAATTTGCCTCTGTAATTAACCTGCTCACTTGCTAATTTGACTGTAATCAAGCCTCTCATCTTTCCCAGCGGGGGTCCAGAACTCTTTGAGCAGTAGCAGCGAGCTCGGTGATGAGTTGCATGAAGTGCCTCCGCTCCTTTACTTCACCTTCCCAAAAAGCTTTTGAACGACCAGGAACAAGCAAACGAGTGCAGGTAAGAGAAAGAGGAAAGAGAAAGAGAGAGAGAGTGGGAAGGGGGGGAGAGATGCATAGAGGAAGCTGACAGATAGTTTAGAGTGAAAAAAAAAAAGCCAATGTGCAGTCGAGGATGAGAGTTTCCTTCGGGCTGTTCGTGTCTGTTAGAGCTCCCCGCCTGTGTGCCTCAGCCTCCGCAGCCTCTGCTAGGCACACACACAAAAACATTTTTCAAAAAACATTGAATCACAGGCATAGGTATTCTCCACTCATAGCCATTCAAATCAAACAACACAGCTGACATTTACATCTGTCAGGACCCAGCGTGTGTTCTTTTCTTCTTCCTGAATGATCAGAATTCACAATATCTCCTCTCAGCCTTTTATTCGCAGAGTCTGTGTCTCCGTTCGACTGCGGCGGCGGCGGCAAAGGGGGGCGAGAGAGAGAGAGAGAGAGAAGCTCTCACTGGTTGCCGGGGGCAACAGAAACAAGAGGTTAGCGGCATCGGACCGGCCGACGGTTTTGATGCGAATGTCGTGGTTAACAATTAGGCGAGCACGAGAGAGGCCGGGCCACGCAGGGCGACACTTGCAATTCCGCCCGCTCATCCGTTAATGAGGCTGATTGAGCCGCACTCCAGAGCGCTGCGCTTTCAGCTGGAGGAAACGTGATGACATTCGAGATGAGATCGGACTGGAAATCTGTTCAGAGGACGAGTTTCGCCGAAGTAGCGTCCAGGTGAACCGCGCGTCGCACCAGGCGGCTCGGACTCTTCTAGCAAGGAAGCGTTGGTTCCGCAGAAAGTCAACTGTATTCCTGTCTTCCTGACCTAAAGATTGAGGTGAACCACAGACTCTTCTGCTGAAACCGTATAGATGCGCAGGTGTTTCCGCTAAAGGCATAATCCTTTCATTAGCGACGACAAACAGGTATGATCAAAACGATCTTAATCCAATTGAAGTCATAAGCAGAACAGACGTAAAGAACCAGAATGTAATTACGCAAACCCTTAGATGTACAGCAGCTCCTTTCAGATAAATATATGGTGGTCTGACTTTAATTAGCAGGGCAGACAATTAGAGCGAGAAATGGAGACAGACAGAGATAAACTAGAAAGATTATCAAAGAGCAGCGCAACAGTCGCTTTGACCAAAGTGAGTGTGACCGAGGAAGTCTAATCATGCAGGCCTTTTTCCTTCCTCGTTTGCTACATGACTAATTAGATTCAAATACACAGCGGCGGTGCATTGTGGAAGTATTCATAATTGTTAAATGTTTAAAGGTTTTGCGATGGCGCGAGCACAGGGTTCAAAGTGCCTCATTAGGATGCGACAGACCCACACAATGTAGTGACAGAGCTGTGAAGTGTTGTTTTCAATTATTTTCATGAAGAGAAAGCACCGCGGCGTTCCGGCCACATTGATCTGGGTTCTGCCAGAGGTCACTTCCTGCTAAAAGGGAGATGCTCCTTTCCACCTTCACTATGTGCTTGTTTACGATGAACAGCGGAGCAAAGTTAAGTGACTCCATGCAGCTGGACTTCTTTAGATTGGAATAGACTATACAGTTTCTTGGTAATTACCAAGATGATGCAGTCAAATTATGAACTGAATTCGACTGCATCATATATTATTATTGGGAGTGCAAATTTCTTCATTTAATTGAGTGACACGTGACAATTTGTGGTGAATCGGTATAAGATAAATAGAGTTTAATTGCACAATTCAAACTTTTCGTGTATGATTTATGATCCATTATGTCTGGATCTTTTTCCAATTTTTTTCTATTTCTTTAAGGTATAAAAAAGGTGGAAAAACAAATTTTGTAAAAAAAATATATATATATAGAATTTTTTTTTTCTGGGTGATCAGTTGTTCTATTTTTCTCTGAATACAAAGTTATTATTTGGAAAATACATCAGTAGCATTAGTCTATTTGATGTCACGATGGATAGTCCTGCGTTGCTTTTTTTCATCTCCCATATAGGATTTTTCTTTGCACTTACAGTGGATGGCCAGTAGTTGATAGTACATTGTATGGTTCAGTGGTGTCCACTTCAGTGATCTGTGTGCATTTATGACATAAAAATGCACAAGAAACACCAGAGCCTGGCTTTTTGAGTTAAGCGTCACGAGGGCACCTAACCTTTGAGATGCCACAAAGCCTCATGGCTCAAATGATAAAACCTGCTGACAGGGTAACTATTGGCTGTGTGTTCCACAAACACTTATTAATTTTGCCCACATGCATTGCGTAAAAATCCCGCCCCGCAAAAAATGTGACATTTGTGGTTGCAACGTGGCAAAAATCAAAAAGACATCTGTAGCCATGAATCGTTTTTCCTTTCTCCATCATCTCATTCTCCCTCTTTTACTTCTCTATCCTCTCTTGGCAACTGATTTCTACTCCCCGATGACAACACGCCAGGTGTTGTGATCGGTGAGGATCAGCGCCGCTGCTTGGTCTCAGTCCAATCAGGTGTTCCGAGAGGTGTCCAAGAAAGACAGTAAGCTCTTAATGAGACTAGCACAGTGACATACTTGGACCGTGCGTCACACACATTTAACAAAAAAAAACAACAACTCAAAACAAGCGCGTGCACAGGCGATTAGGCGAGACACACCACATGGCTCTGACACATTGACCCGCGCTCGGTAATCTAAGTCTAGACGGGTAGCGAGGTTCTGTGCAACAGGACGTAGAAAAGGATGCAAACAGCCCGGCCTCAGAAGGTAAGGCTGCACACCGAGGTCTAATGACGGGAGGATTTTTGCTGTTTTGTGTGAGGCATCTCCATGCAGTTGCCATCCCTACACAAAATAAGAAAAGACACAAAAGGAGAGCGGTTGGTTGGCATGACGACAGCGCCGACTCAAAGTCTAACGAGCTACAGGGCCCAATTATGAATGTTTGGTCCGATGTGCATGCATGTACACACCCACGATCGTGCACCCACACACACACACACGCGCGCAGGCACACAGAATGGACTTTGGCAATATCCCCCCCGATGTCATAAAGGTGAGCTTGAGAGGTCTCTCCAAAGATAGCTCTGTGTTTCATTCCCACCTTGCCACTCCCTCAGCACCCTGCACAGTCCCATAATGCCTCACACCTCGCCGCTCTGTGCCATTGTAGAAGAAAAATGACCCCTCAAAGGACCTTTTCCTAGTTTTGACCTGCTAAAATGTTTCTGGCAAAGTGCTCTTTGTTTCTTCTTCTAACAAGAGCAAAAAAAAAAAAAAAAAAGAAAAGGAAAAAAGGGCGCTCAGTGAAACAAGGTTTTCTGGTTAGAAAACAAAGAAAAAGAAAAGAAGAAAAGCTGAATAGGTTTCGATAGGAAAAAAAAATACTTGCAGTTACTCTCAATGCTACTTTTCTGTTTCACTTGTTCACTTCTTGCTCAACTTAACGCTGCAAAGAAACCCAACTCTTGTCTTCCCTTTAAAAGGCTGAGCCGCGTCAGGGCCGCATAAAACAATTTCCCTGATGAAGCAAGAACTAAATGAGCTGCGTGTTGCTGCCGAGAAGTCAATAAAAGTTGATGGATTTTCAACCAGGGAACAATTATGAGTTTTTGTCGTAGGATGATGTTTACTTCTGTAATTTGCTCTTGCGAATATATATAAATATATATACCACCCTCTAATTTCTGTATATAAATGTGCGTATTACTTTTCCGATTTTTTCTCTCTCACTGGACAGCAACAGAGGTGTACGAAAGCTGGACCTGTGTGCCTGTAAGTATGTACAGCAACAGTTCTGAGCCTTCGTCCAAAATCGCTCCAACCTCCAGGCCGTCCAGGGCATTTGCTAAAGGGGACAGAGTAGGGACATCTGAACTCACTCACACGCTGCCGCTCCTCTGGGATTATCACTATTTTTAGATAAGCGCCCCCTGGCTGTGCCTGTGCGCTGACATATACCCATGACTAATCCATAACCTGCAAGAAAAACACACATACACACACAAGATAGTCCCTGAAATTGTCGTCCCATGCATTCTAATGAAAAGGACATCACTCCAAACACACTTTTGAATACTTCACTTGAAGCTTTCACCGAACAACGACGACAAACGCTCGTCTGTTCTTTAACAACGAGGCAAACCACGGTGCAGTCACACGAGCAGCGTCTCCAACTAACCCTTCCCTGTCTGCTCTCACCTCCGCAGCAAGGTTCCACATCTAAGTTTCAAACCCTTTAAAATATTAATCGGCACCGAAAAGGAAAACTTTTAATACACATGAAACAAGAGCCGGCTTACAGCTACCCATGTAGCGTTGCTCTCCATCACTTTGTTCCCTCTTTCTCCTCTCTCTCTCTCTCTCTCTCTCCCTCACTGTGGCTCTCATGAATAATGAAGACCTATAGAATCCAGTGGATCAGATTGTCCCTGCCAGTCGGATACAGCTCTCCTGTATTGATCAAATAAGACTCCTTAAATAATTAACAAGGACTTTGTCATGCAAATGAGTGGCCACAGCAGCGTGTGGGTCTCTGCATGCTTTTGCGGCTGCTTCCTGAAAACATTGGGAGTTTGGGGGTGGAGGTTCATGCAGCGCGGCCTGTGAACAAGGCCCCCCCTTGTTTGCTGGACACTCAAAAATTTACATGCACAACAACAGCATGAATCTGATGAGTTTTAGGCTTTTGAAATTATGTTTAACCATTTTTTGGTAGTATTTATATCAACAGGTTACGTTTTGCTTGTGTGGTTGTTTGCCTTTGTCATTTCCAACAAAATATCAGTGGTGCAAATGTTTACATTTGACCAAATACGCACAAATACATTTGACAAAGAATGGATTAATGTATCGCAGAAATCCACACTTAAATACAAAATGTTTACCCAACTGTTACCTTTCAGATTGTTAAAGCTGTGTGCATTTTATATGGAAAACGAAAGGTGCAAATTCCTCACTAAAAAGCCCAAAAATGTTTACGATATTTGGCCACACAAAAAGTTTTTGGTGTGTAATGAAGAACTTTGTAATGAAATCTCCATCCAGCTCTCGT